ATCAAGAAATGGAAGCTCACAACAAGTTTCAGGAGTTGAAACAAAGACAGAAGAAGCCAATGTCGGAGTACCCAATAGATATGGAGAAGTGGTCGAAGAGAGCGTTTCCACATTTGGACGACGATTGAGCTGGGCGAAATTGAACGTATTAGAAGAGAAATCGGATGAAGTCGATTTTCCTCAAAAGTTTTTCAGAATGGTAACTAGTGAAAAAGTGAAAAACTCGTGAACCAAACGTGCACTATTTTCAGATATGGACCAGCATTATCATCCGGAGCAGAAATCAGAATACAAGAATCTTGTCGGCCAATGCTATAACGACTTTCAAGCAGTCTGATAAAGTGTTTTTCCTGTAATGAGTAATTGGCGACATCTGCAAAAGTTGCATCTCAGCCAGATTTGCAAAAAGGGAGTGAATATGAGTTCAGACACATCGGAAGACAAAATCAAAACGTTACGAGCGCCACGTTATGTGCGATAATCACTATTCGGCGGTTAGTTCTTTTGAAAGACCTGTTGATACTCTCCGTCATGAGTTTTGTTTCAGATTTCATTGTTTTCTATTTCTAATCTGGACGAGAAAAAGCATGGATCATCTGAAACAACGGAATCATCAGAAACAAAAATTTCTATCCTTATTCACCTTCCGCACGCAGCAACGAGCATTTGCCCCCATCGCTGTGTTCATTTATGAATAAATGAATTCGGATAATTGTATTTCGCATCATTAAATTGTCTATTCACACTCGATCTTTTTTGTGTGTGTGTGCGTGATTTGTGCGTGATCGTTACGAGTATGTTCGTTTGGAAGTTTTAGTAAAAGTTATTTTTTTGTAGATGAAAAAAGAAAACTTTTGATCTACCCCTATCGCAAAAAACTATTTTTGAACCTCCCTCCAATTCGTTTGCTGCGGGTCCGCAAACACCACACCCTCAGACAAAAATGTATCAAATCTTACGACATTTTCTTGAACATGCTTTTCTTTGTTCAGAAACTGAAATGGACGAGGATAGTCTGCTTTCAGACGGGTCCAAAACTCCGGGAGGCGTTCAAGAGTAATAAAAGTACTGGCGGCGGGACAAATACCAGAGCTCACCGAAAAGGATCTGAAGAATGTAGAGGGGACAGAAGGAGATTTAGGCTATTTTTACACTAGAAATCGATTTTTTCTGCTCAAGATTATCAACAACGGATTGAAAATCGACGTAACGTCAATTCTAACTGACGAGAATATTTTTAACGTTGCTCATCTCAGTTTCTTGTCTCCTGAATTCAAATCTAATGAAATCGAATCTAAAACGCTCATAAAAAAAGAAAGGAAAAAGGAGAAAGAAGAGTCACGTAGCATTATTGGATCGCCAGAAGCACCGTCACGTCATCAGAAACGCAACCCACAGAAGAAATCCATTTAAGTGGCCTTANAGTTATGGAAAATCCTTTGGAACGAACAAATATGAAACTCGATGAATCTCACGTCATTTTTTTCGTAT